AATATTACTCGAGATATAAGCAACTTCCGGTTTGAAATGTCAATGTCATTTTGACATATTCTTAATTTTTATAAACTGTCTTAATATGTGTCACAAAAACAAAAAGATAATAAAAAAAAATCAAAAATTAAGGTTGGTATTAATATTTAAAAATTAAATTGCTATCTTCATTGTTGCCAACTTCGGGTTTAATGCTTTTTATTCAAACTTTTTTGTTTTTTGAGATAAGTGCATCATGTTTGGACTCATTTTAAAGGTTTTTTAATGAAGATGACAAATATGTCAAAATTGACGTTGACGTTTCAAACCGGAAGTGATTGTATTTCCATTAATATTAAAGTCTTTCCTTTTAAAGTTTTTCCAATAAATTTTGAATCAAAAAATTAGTGTCTCGCTAAAATATATTAACAAATCTTGCAAAATAAGCAAGGAAAATGATTACAAAATTGATAGTCAATTAAAATCGATAAAATTCTATTAAAATTCCTTTTTGAATTCCTTTAAAATCGCCGTTGTTACTATTTCAAGAGAGATACAATTAATCACACCGGATCACCAAGCAAAGCAAAACTTGCACAAGAAGAGAATGTCACTTGAATTTCGAATCGAACCGGTGGCGGCAACTTTGCGAAGAAAGTTTCCGCGAGAATTTCAATCGGAAAGTTTTTTGTTTCTCTTTTTTTTCTTTCTTTTGCAAAACATGCGCCGCCGCAAAAGACAACTAATTATAATAAACACGTTCTGTTCGGTACCTTTTACTTTTCAACTCGTACCAAAATAAAATCGCTATAAAAAAGTATACTTACATTTCGATATCGACTTTTTCCAATCTTTTTTTATCGGAATCTTTTCTTCACTTTTCTTCATATTTAAGATTCACTCACAACAAAAATCACTTTCACTACAATAATATAAGATATAGTAAATAATGTTACACGATTTATTTTGGTTGAAATTTCGTTGTGGTACAATTCGTAATTTTATTGTCAGGTGTTGAATTGACGTTTCGACTCTTAAGAACCGCTTAATTAGCCGGACGGTAATTTTATAAAACGTGCGGCTTCCACCTCCGCCTCTTGTGGCCACCACGCCAATGTTCTAGAATGCCTAACCTTTCGTGAAATTATTTCAAACATTCAGAGGTGAAGAGGCTCCAACAGCTGATAAAATCACTAATACGCTTTTTGTATAATAAATAGTTACGCCAAATGTGTCATAAAACATTTTTGTGGAAAAATGTTTCAAATTGATGATTCTCAACATCAAGTTAAAAAAAATATTTGACATTGAAACGTATTCAAGAATTAGAAAAAAAAATTCTAGATAAGTGATCCATTCTATGTAAAACAGCGAATCTATCCTCCGTGATTTATCTCTTGAAGTATCTAGGCCAAGTTAAGTTAATGTAAACGCAAAAAAAAATCTTAAAAATTTAAAAAATTAAGTTATAACAATAACAAAAAAAAAGGGAAAGGGAAACTGCAAAAAAAGGTCAAACAAATTTAAATTTCGGAAATATTTTCTGACTCGAATACGTAATTACAATAGAATCTAATACGTTTAACATATCACGAACGAATGTTTTGCGGTCAAGGGTAAACAAAAAGGTTTTTTTTATAATGTTCTTTCTTTCGTGTCCGATTGAAAATGAAAAAACGGGCGCCAGAAGATTCAGCAGGGGCTAAGAAGGTCTTTTCCTCGTTCCGTTGAGGACGTATGTTAATCAACAACCACGTCGCGTTTACAAAAAAGGAACTACCGTTTTTTTTATTCTTCGTTCCTTCTTTCTTTGAGGACTAATAACAAATAACCGACTTTTTTCGTTAGTATTCACCCGGCGAAATCAACAAACCGACGCAGCTCCGAATCCCTTTTTAATCACAAATTAAACCGTTTATAAGCTATAAGCGATTAAGCAATTACAATTGTTAAACCATTTTTGGAATAAGTTCTTTGAATACGGTATTATTTTTTGGTTTAATATAATATGATGATAATTGTAATATTTCGTTAAAACAAATCTGCAATGGCAGAATTATGTGTGAAATGTGCAGAAAATTATTCGTTGGAGAAGTGCCCAGAAATGTACAAAGATTTTTTATGCCACCCACCAGAAAAATCTTGTCCAGGAGCTCCCAAATCACTCAAGAAACAAGTTCATTGCGAAGCCACGTGTCAATAAAGCATTTAAACAGCAAATCATAAACTTCACTCCAATAAAACACAAAGATGAAGCAACTTAGGATAAATTTTGTAGTCAGCTTGAAGCAGCTTTTTGACTTAGTATCCTCAAATGAGATCAAGATCACATTAAGTGACTACAACACGACGTCCAACGCCTGGTCGACTTCGCTTGCAACAGGAATATAATAATAATTATTAAGAAATTCATTAAGAAACTTTGAAAAATTCAAGAAACATTATGTAGCTTAAAAATCGACGATTTTTTTCATAATCAATGTGAAATGATCCAAAAAAACACGATAAAAATAAAAAGAAAGTGCGGAAAAGTTCCTAACTTCAGTTATAAAACTTCTATTACATGATAACTAACTTCAGGTTTAACATGTCAACCTCAATTTTGGCATATTTGTAATCTTCATTAAAAATCCTTTAAAATGAGTACAAACACGACATATTTATCTTCAATATTAATGAAGTTATGGTCAACTTCCGGTTTGAAATGTCAATGTCATTTTGACATATTTTTCATTTTTATAAAATGTCTTCTTATTTGTCTCAAAAACAAATTTATAATAAAAAAATAAAAAATTAAGGTTGGTATTAATATTTAAAAATTAAATTGTTATCTTCATTGTTGCCAACTTCGGGTTTATTGTTTCATATTCTAACTTTTTTGTTTTTTTAAATAAATGCGTCGTGTTTGGACTCATTTTAAAGCTTATTTTATAAAGATTACGAATATAA